TAGGAAGCATCAAAATGTCAACATAGATTGTCGCTGGATTGTGTTATTATAGATGATGTTTCTTCATTGTCTTCACTTAAAAAATTAATATTGTAATCAGAATATAGTATTCAAAATGCCTGAAAGCCCATGTTGTTCCTTTTTCTTTTCCTTAGAAAGAATCAGAATTTTCAAAGTGTGTACAAACCTTCACAATTTATTGTGCACATTGCATCTTATTGTAATTGTTTTTTTTTTTTCTTGACTTGTCCTCTTACTGGATTTTGAACTTTGTTTCTTCATCTCTGTAGGTGTAGTGTCTATCACAGGAAACATTGTGATGCTTAATAAAGGTCTGATGAATGTATCTATAGATTAGTAAATGAATAAATGAATGCATGAATTTTAAGGCCAATTTTACTGCTGATCCTTATTTTTATATTAGATTACAATGAATTTCTATATTATAATAACTTTATTCTCTTTAAAAATATAATGTAGGCCTGGTATAGGAAATTGTATCGGGTTTCAGTGATGTTTACTTAATTTTTTCTCGATTGTTTCACAATATTTTGACCTAACATTTTAGCTCCAATTAATTTGTGGTTTCCAAAATCTTATTTTTTTTAGGTTAAGAATGGCTAACTTAACAATTGCTGCAAGAGAATTTAGATGATTCTTCTTTTTTTATGTTGTCATTGTGTTTTCTGTTTATGTTCATATAGATAATGTAAAGCCAGTTCGTACGGCATAAAGATATATTCTGGTTAGTGCAGTTTTTGCGCTTAAGTGTTTCTGTCTAGATGATTCCTTTCAAAAGGATTGCTTTTTGAGTGGTTTGCTGAAAAAGATGTGTGTGTGTGTGTGTGTGTGTGTGTAGAACAAGAAGAGTGAAAATCCTTTAGGTAATTATTCAAATCTTGTAATATACAATTAAATTGACAATGGAGTGCGGTTCTTCAAATTTTAACTAATCATTATTAAATGACCACTTCACTTTCCCTTTGATACTATAGCTGAAATTTCTTCATTGCAAAGTGTATATGTGTATTTGTGTATGTAAATTGTAATCAAAATAGCAGCATTTTACTTTTATACCTGGAATGTAGCTTTTAGGTTTTTATTCTTTGGGGGGGCATATCATTATTTTAAAAGGTATTGCAAATTATAGGACATGTATCTTAATGGAATGCATTAAAAATCTGGTATTTTCTGGCAAAAAAAACCCACACATGCTTATGATTTTTTCTAAAAGACAAAGAAATTATATTTGCAGCAATGAATTTCCTTCTCTGTACTCCAAATTTCACACATTTCTTTTCAATTTATTATGAGATTGAATTAAGGAAGGCTACTGTCCTGAGAAAGAGCAGAATTTTCATTTTTATTTTGTTAGGAATATGAGAATTAAATGGTAAGACTTAAAATAGCATCATTATTAGAAACATCAATGTCCCAAAGAAAGAGAACTTTTTTCAAGAAATATAGTATTATAAATGATATTTATATCGATTCATAGAATGATTTTGCATAATAATTCTTATTTTAATACTTCACCTTTAACTCGAGCTTTTATCAGCTATGCTTAGAATACCTATAAGTAAACTTGACAGTATTGCACCTATTTAATATGGACTTGAAAATAGTTACTTGCCACTTTGAACTAAACCGATATCAAACCCAAAACAAAACAAAACAAAACAAAAAACATAAAAAGTGAATAATAAAATGCTTCCTTCAACAACCCTGCCTCCAGTTTGCTAACTGAGCATTTAAGACTCCAGATCTGGTTTACCCAGTGCCCTCACTCATCTTTGGTAACTGCCCTACAATTTCTATGTTTCTTTTGTAGTAATCTTCACATTACAATTTAGCAACATACCTGCAACTG